TTGAAGTGCCAAGTAATAGCCACTACTGCATTAGGGATAGAATCCTGCCACCATGGAGTTCAGAATCACATCAGTGACATTTAGACAACTAGGGATACTTCTGAAAATTCAACTCAGAACCTTTGAAAGGAACAAAAACCTTTTTCTTAGGTAGAGTTATGTTTTTATCATCCCACTGACCAAGTGCAGCCACGGCATGCAGTCGCTATCTGAGATAAACCATAAAAACCACTCCTGACCAAGTAATGATCTCAGCCAATCCATGGTATTTCCTGTGCAATGCCTGTATGGAGATATATAAAGTAGGCATACTGAAAATGAAAATCCACATACAGAAATCCGTCCTAATGGAGACTGATGAACTGTTGACAAGGTTTGCTTCTGAAGATAAAATATCCAGCTACAGCAAGGAAACCCGCTAAGTCCTTCATCACATGCAGGACCTCGTCTGTCCTCTGGTTGAAGAGAAGTATCGTAACAAGTGAAGTCTTTCACTAAAGATTTCATGTCTTTCAGCAGAATGACTGTGGCCAGGGTGATGAGTATCCACTCTGGGGAGGGCATGCCTCTATGGAAGGCGTATTTGTAATGAAGCCCAGGATATCATTTTTAGTTTCCTAGGGCTAAAACAAATTTTTTTCATGACATCAACAGAAAGATAAATAAGCAAAAATTGTTCAAAATCATCTTATACTTAGTGAGCAAAGAAGCCCTGATAACCAGATCAACAAAACTGGAACAAGTAGTGTACCTTATTTGCCAAGCTGCCAGACATTTTATGGTCATGGCTGTGGAACTTAGCCTATTTATTTTTGGTCACTGCTGCTGCTGAGAAGACTAAAGGCAAAGGTCATCACAGAAAGATTGAATTACATGATATCCACTATTCTCTGTCCTTCTGGTGTTGAAAGGTAAACATGTACATACATGAGAGGCCACGTGGTCGTTCTTCAAATTGTTAGCCAACATGGTTCTGTTTCTAAAGAGAGCATTCGTGTTAATCTAGGGAATGATAAGAGCAGCAGAACAGATGCTTTGAGACACCAAAGGCCATGTTAATACTCTAGTAGTATCTGTGCTGACAATCCAGCTGGCTATAGAAGCACCTAAAGGGTCCCAAGAGATCTCAGACAACTATGTAGGCTGTGTCTAAAAGAGAAGAAAAAATATCGAACGACATTTGTCTTGCTACCTTTGCCTGCTGACTATCCAGGACCAACAGGTAGAACTGGTGTCAAAAGGCCAACGTGCACCTTCATAGTAGCCTCCACAACCTCAAACCCCTGCCAAACTGCTTTGGGAACCAACCTCTGTCCTAAAGTCTGGTAACAGAGGATGCAGCTGGAACTAACAGTGGTGTCCAATGATATACACTCACAGGAATGACAGGAAGACACCCTAGCACCTTTCAGGAAGTACTTCTAGATCTTGTTCTCTCCATCACGTACTGTCACTCACCTCAAGAATAAAGACATCCAGAACACTGGTCAACAGATGAAAAATGACCTCTGCATGTTTCATGCAAGGCAGAATCATCAGAGAGTCAGTAGTTTAAGTACACAACAGACAGATCAGTAGTGATCTCAGATGTGAAGCCTGTCATCTCACTGGAAGGCTGGAAAGAACTAAAGCGCAACAGTCACAGGACAGGAAGTTCTCAATGGCAGAGGTATACTGAGAAGCACTGAAAAGTACTGAAAAGTGCATGTTATTTCCCATATAATAAAATAGACAAACTTAGAGGATCTTTAATGAACTGAACTCGCCCCAAAAAAGGAATGAAGCATTTCTAGTTTCACCACATACACCATGAATGGTGAGAAAAGGTCATCTCAGTGCACTGAGATCCTTGCCACCAGAAGCAAAACAGCAGGCGTGACAGTTGGAAACCCACTGAATGTTTGAAAGAATGTGAGCTTGCAGGGGTGACGCACATGCTCTCTGTAAGTGGTTTCTGTCTGGACAGTCACTTTTTGATAATAGCTGTTCCCAAGTAGCTCCGTGTTTAGACAGGCCCTAATAGATAAGCTAACTCAGAACCATTTGCACACAATAGAAATCACAGTCCTTTTAAGTACTATGGATATTATCAATAAAGATCCACAATAAAATACTGGGGTTTTTTTCCAAGTATCTGACTTTACCCAAATCAAATTCAGTGTGAGCTGTACACACAGTGTTATGTTTCAAGAAGCATTATGCAAAAGAGATAGATTTAATTCCAAGCAACTTTGCAATTGCACATTTATTTCTTATTTAAAGAAAGAGTGATTCTCAAGGGCTTGTTAACATTGAAACATAATGGCTTGAGATTAGAGAGTTTTTATGCAGAATTTGGTACCTTTTTTTACTAAGCAGAAGACTGCATTTTACATATTTATGTAACTAAATAGTTTAATTTTAAATCAGACTCTTAGATTCCATGTTGTTAAAATAGTGACTCACTTCTCCCATTTACTTGATGATATTTATTCAGATTTGCCAGGCTGCATGGTTGGAAATTGTAATTCAAGTAAACATATACAAAAGTTGTGTTTTAAAATTATTATCAAGCGTCATTCAATTAAAACATAAGAAAATTTTGTTTTAAACACAAACCAGTTTTGACTATGCATTTATATTCCATGAATAGAAGCAAGAGCTTCTAATTAATAGATCTTTCATTGTAACTACTAAATCTCATCTTCTGAACTTCTACTTGAAGTAAAGAAGAAATCAATTTTTTTCCTGTTTTCTGAACTCCCAGTATCTCAACTTCAACTGAACTACGATATCAATCTCAGAAGAATTACAAAAAAATTACAAGCCAGAAATACATTTCTGGCACTGTCATCCACACTCTAGCTAGTTCGGAACACCACTAACCATGTCTGAGCAACATGCTATCAATAAGAGACTTCAAACACAACAGTAAGTTCTGTTTTGGATGTCTTCAGCAGAAAAGGAGAAAAAGATTCAGCTATTTTTCAAACACGTTGGAGAACATTTAGTCTGATTTTTCAAAGACACTAAACATAACAGTTATCACAGGTATTATGAAACTGGAAGCTTTACTCAGACATATAATGACTGAAGACAAGAAACACAAAAGTTGCTTCTCTAAGATTTCAAACCTTTTTAGGATTAGGGACTAGCAATATCACATGTGAACATGCATAGCTGTCCTGGTTTTGGCTGGGATAAAGTTAATTTTCTTCCTAGGAGCTGGTACAGTGCTGTGTTTTGGATTTAGTAGGAGAATAATGTTGATAACGCACCGATGTTTTAGTTGTTGCTAGGTAATGCTTACACTAGTCAAGGACTTCTTAGTTCCCCATGCTCTACCGACTGAGAAGGCTGGAGGTGCACAAGAAGCTGGGAGGGGGC